GTTCCAGAACCTGACCACGGTTAAGAGGAGTTTTGTATACAGGCAGTCCTCGACATGGGAACACCAGAGTTACGAGCAACCGCACTTCCATGAAATATATTTTTAACATCAGCTTTCAATCGCAAACTCGCACGTGTGAACTACACCGTGGACTCTTATGTTCAGAGGAGCGAACCTCTGCGAGATGTAATGAGTCGCAGCCTCCCGCTGGGCTTGAGTGGTTTTGTGCTTGCGTGCGCGTGCTTGCCCCCACTCACGACCTACACCAGTGACGATTATCTGCACCGGTCCTGGGCCACCCCTAAGTCGACTCAGCCGCAAATGAGTACCTGGTGTGGTGTGTCAATATTACCAAGGGGGAGACCCGCACGGCCAAACGTGGTATTGGCCACCTACCCCCTCGTGTACGGTGCCGGCCTTAATAGGCGCTGATCGCTAACAGCTATACGGGGGATATTTATCTTTGTGGAGACTCATTACGCCCATTGTTACAAGCAAGCCTGAATCAGTATTAAGTATCGCGTGCAAAAATACAATATTAATTATGGGTTTAACAATGCTTGTGTTTTGGGTTATTACGTGGGCTTTTGTTGAACGTGGACCCATATCTAATAGAGGGGTCCTTGCTTATAAACATCTGGCAGTTCACAATCATTGCTTCAAGCAAGCCTGACTAATGATGAGACACTTAATGTGGAAACGGTGCAAAGTTTTGGTTGTGTTGAACCAATGCTGTTGAAAATATGCACTCCCATGAGGCCGTGTGGTTGATGGAACGTGTAAGCTAAATGTGTTTAAGGGCATATTGTCTACGCTGACGCCAATGATTGTGTTATCGTCAGCTGTCTTTAGTCTTGAAATAATCTGATGAGCTATGAAGCTCTTTTTCACATGTCCAGTTGTAATGTTTCGTGTGTGCGAATCCACGTTACTCGACTACACGGAGTCACCAGCTGCTTGGGATTGAGAAATCCTTGTGACCTGGGTTCGAGTCAGTGTTGAACCACTGGCGTGCTATCTGCTGCCTTTTTATTTGAGAGGCGCGAGACGGCCGTGAGGTGTGAGTACATGGGATAGGTAAATTAAGGGTGAGACAAGTTTTTGGAGTGGGGTGAGAGAGGTGAGGGGTTAGAGGTGAGAGGGGAGAGACAGGTGAGGGGTTAGAGGTGAGAGGGGTGAGACAGGTGAGGGGCTAGAGGGGTGAGACAGGTGAGGGAGAGGGGTGAGACAGGTGAGGAGTGAGACAGGTGCGGGAGAGGAGTTAGAGGGGAGAGACAGGTGAGGGGTTAGAGGTGAGAGGGGAGACAGGTGAGGGAGAGGGGAGAGACAGGTGAGGGGGGTAGAGGTGAGAGGGGAGAGACAAGTGAGTTGTTAGAGGTGAGGTGAAAGGGGAGAGACAGGTGAGGGAGAGGGGTTAGAGAGGAGAGACAGGTGAGGGAGAGGGGTTAGAGGGGAGAGACAGGTGAGGGGTTAGAGGTGAGAGGGGAGATACAGGTGAGGGGTTAGAGGTGAGAGGGGAGATACAGGTGAGGGAGAGGGGTTAGAGGGGAGAGACAGGTGAGGAGTGAGACAGGTGAGGGAGAGGGGGAGACAGGTGAGGGAGAGGGGAGAGACAGGTGAGAGAGAGGGGAGAGACAGGTGAGGGGTTAGAGGTGAGAGGGGAGAGACAGGTGAGGGAGAGGGGTGGGACAGGTGAGGGGCTAGAGGGGAGAGACAGGTGAGGGAGAGGGGAGAGACAGGGGAGGGGTTAGAGGTGAGAGGGGAGAGACAGGTGAGGGAGAGGAGTGGGACAGGTGAGGGGCTAGAGGGGAGAGACAGGTGAGGGAGAGGGGTGAGACAGGTGAGGGAGAGGGGTGAGACAGGTGAGGAGTGAGACAGGTGAGGGAGAGGGGTTAGAGGTGAGATACAGGTGAGGAGTGAGACATGGTGAGGGAGAGGGCTTAGATGGGAGAGACAGGTAAGGGGGTGAGAGACATGAGCCAGGTTTTGAGGCTGGCGTGAGACAAGAGGCGGAGCAGGAGGATTCCTGTCGGAGTGCGGAAGACGTCGGGATGTGAACTCTGGTCCACGCTAAACCGCATCCTCTTCACAAACTACGACAGATGTTGATACCTGATGCCCAAATGGAAAATAGAAAATTTCCAGTCGTGTGCGACTGTGGTCATCCGGAAGAGACCATACAGCATATAACGATGCAATGCCCGATCCGTAACTACAAAGGAGACATCACAGGGATACAGCCCCATTACTCCTGTGGTGCCGCTATCTGGCTTAGACCACATGAATGTGAAACTGTAGTCGTTGCGCCTGCATCTACATCACCCGTCCGAAGAAGAAGTACATTAATTTATAGATTTTGCCACTCAAAATGTATTGCTACAGAAGGATACTGCATCGAAGACGGACCCAGAGAGTGACCAACGTAAAAGTCAGACGAAGTTTGCGCTAAGAAGAAGATCTGATCGAGGCAGTGATGAGAATGAAACTGGCACGATTTGGACACACGCGCAGGATGGAGGACAACAGGAAAGTGAAAAGTGTGTACAATTTTAAGGAAGAGGAAAGGGAGGAAAGACCTGAACAGTGAATGACTTTGCGACTAAAGAGATTGGTGCCAGAAAAACGTGGCGCAATTCGAGCACATTGTCACACAAGACTAGAGGGGGAAAGTGGAAACGAATGGCGGAATGTGCAGTGGGACACGTACGGGCCGATTTGCCCACAATGGATCGTGATGATGATAATGCTGTTGTTGCGTACCTGTGGACCCCTTAACGATGTCTAACTTATTACAGACCAATTCAGACTTTATTGATAACCTCGTGCCTCTATAAATCTCAAATATTCATCCAACACAGTCCCCATCACAAGGGAGAAACACAAAACAGACAAAAACACTTTTTTGCCCGAATTGAAACGGCGAGACGCCGTTTAGACACGAAAAATCTATTTGCCCGTACAAGAGTACAGGGTAAACAGGTATGAATTGACGGCTTATGCTGTTGTGACGACGCGAATTGATGATGATGCCGCTCAGTCTCCTATATGCAGGGTGGCCCCTAAGTCTGGAATCGTAGGGGAAATAAAGAATTCATATTTTTTTGGTTTGTTTCTGCAGGCCCAAGATGTCTCTGAGTAAGGAAGAACGAGTCCAGATAATTCTACTCATCGGAGTCAGAGGGAGGTCTCAGTTGACTTTAACAGACTACATTCAGACCACGAGCATCCAAATTCAGTGTTTAACTACTTGCGGCAGCGCAATTATTGTCGCCAATTAAACCGCGTGCTCGCTGGAGTTGTATATCAGGAACAATGCTCTTGACACGTTGAGCACGTTCTGTGAATAAAAGCGTTGCTATTGCCTTTTATTGTATTATTTTCTCTATGATTCCAGACTTATGGGAGGGACAACCCTGCATATTAAACTAATATATAAAATAAATCACGACGTTTCGGGCGCAACACAATAAAATAAAATGTTTCGCTCCGGATGACCGCTGCAAAGTATTATCTGTATTTTGATTTAGTGTGCTGACCTTAAAGGTGCATTGAAAAATTTGATACTCCGACTGATGCTCCTGTTGTTGTGGAGTAACTCATGCAGCCAGCTATGGCTCTAGGGTTTGGTGTTACATGTTATTTATGTAGTTTATACTGGTAGGAACCAAGTTGTAAACTGAGTGTACCAGCCTGCAATAGATTAATGTGTCCGTCCGTCCGTCCCCTTTCAATACTTTAACGAAGTGAAATCTCGTGCTGTTGGGGTGTAAAAATAAAATTGCGCAAAATTCCAATGTTCCTACCAGCCCACCCTGCAGGGACCTGTTTGTTAAAAATTTGGTCACAGTCCCTATGATCACTGTTACATTCCATTTATGGCTTTATTTTGGTGCTTTCGAAAAGTTTTTTGGTTTGGCCATGTTTTTGTTTATTGTAGTACCGAGTTAGACTGATGGCCTTAATACTGGTAGGAACGAAGTTGTAAACTGAGTGTACCAGCCTGCAATAGATTAATGTGTCCGTCCGTCCGTCCCCTTTCAATACTTTAACGAAGTGAAATCTCGTGCTGTTGGGTGTAAAATCAGCAATAGACAGCGCAGAGACTTGTCCTACCAGCCCACCCTGCAGGGACCTGTTCTAAGTTGTCTTGTGGTTGATGTTGTTTGACTTTGCATCCCACTGGGATTTTTGCACACAGCGTTGGTGTACGGTGCTTTTTCAGGAATATTTTGATATTTTTCCTGGATTTTCTGTTTGCACAGTCACATAGTCACTTTAAGATGTTTTCTTGTTCGTGTTTTTGTTTTTTGTTTGTTGCGGTTGCACTCGATTCAAGAGCCGAATGGCTCACAGGGCTATACCTAATAAATGAAAAAAATGAACTATGAAGCGTCCATCATCAGGTGGGAAAGCGATGATGGACGCTTGTGTTGCGCCCGAAACGTGATTTATTTTATTTTATAACAACGTGACTTTACCGAAAGAACCAAAGAGTATGGATTCCTGCAGTCACGAAAGCTTCAAATCAAGATTATTGTTATATATAAGCCTGCAAAGGCAGTCCTGATAATTGTTTTTTTACCCTTTTATCTGGCAACAAAACTGACACCTTTTTACAAGGAGTCATTTTTGCATTGACCACAATACCTGCGGTCGGAACGCAAACAAAAAAACAACTCTGATAATGTATGCACTGTCCTTGAAATTGATTGGTCCACACCTGAGACAGCTTTCTTTAGAGCCTCGTCTCACATGGTGTTGGACCAGAAGACGCCAAAAGGCGCACAACTCAAAGACAATGCACCATCAGAGTATGAGAGCCCGGGGTAAAGCATTTACACCATTGGAAACCTCATTTGCCAGTAACAAAATATTATATTTGTTTTTTTTACCCTTTTATCTGGCAACAAAACTGGGTAAAAAAAACAATTATCATATTTTGTTACCGGCAAATGAGGTTTCCAATGGTGCAATAGCAGTCCTGTCCGACAGTTTTTTAAGAGGGGGCGCCCGACTCAAGGCGCGTTCACCACCACCACCACGTGTGCGACACGCGGCGCCGCACGTGTTTGTGTGTGTGTAGGGGGCGGGTGGTGTTTCATTCGTTCTCCCGGGGTTTTTCGTTCACCATGAAGCGCCGCCGTGGAATGAAGACGGCGGACATCGTCAAGTCGCTGTCCAAGCGGCAGCGCAAGCACCTCAAGCAGTTCGGCGAGGATCACCCGGTCACCGAGGGGTCAGTCGATCGAGCCGCTTCGGCGAGGCCGGCGGTGAAGCACCGACCTCGCCTAGCGCCTCCGGGCCGGGCTGCGGTGCGTCGAGTTGGGCGGCGTGGCCGTACCCTAGCACCCCCCCCCCTCCTCCCTCCTGTCCACACACTAACAGATACCAATTGAGTACAGCGCTCTAAAACTAAATATTTTTTTGTATGTTACCAGGTAACAGCCCACTGAGCTATATAGCTGTTTTTCAGAAGCGACCTTGCTATATCACAAGCGATCTCTCTCTCACTCTCCAGCGTCGTGTACGTGTAAATCACACGTCCCAAGTATTTGTTTAAGTCCGCAATGTGGATACATTGCGTTGGCTGGAGGAGTCGCGGGAATTGTTTACTGCTCAGTACGCTCCGGGCAGTAGGATGCATTGGTTCGCAACGTGGTGGTGGTCCATTGTCTTGCTTCTTGGTGGCCGCAGTCACGCCGCGTGGGGTTGTCTTTAATTCTCCTCTTGTGGAGGAGATTAACGCCGTGCATAGCAATCGTGTGGTGGTGGTGGGGGGCGGGGGGGCGGTCGTCGTTTGTTGAGGTTTTTATTTGGAACGAGCTGTATTACCCGTCCTAGGACCGGTGAATGTTGCGGTACATCTGAAATATTCAATGGAAAAAAAGTTTTCAGCTCATTAATGAGGGGACGGGGTGGTTGTCCCACGTGGTGTGACGTCACCCGCTAATGGTTGTTGGGGAGGGGTGCGGCGTGTGGAGTGACGTCACCCGCTAATGGTTTTTGGGGAGGGGTGCGGCGTGTGGAGTGACGTCACCCGCTAATGGGGAAGGGGTGCGGCATGTGGAGTGACGTCACCCCCTCATAGTTATTGTGGAGGGCTGCGGCATGTGGAGTGACGTCACCCGCTCGTGATTATTAATGAGGGGAGGGGTGCGGCAGGTGGAGTTCGCGACCATCTTGTGCGTTCGTAAATTTCCACGCGGGCGTGAATATTAATGAAGGGGGGGGGGGGGCTCTTTTGCAGTGACGTCACACACGGATGTAGCACTGTGCTGTGTAGATTTATTTTTTACTGTCACTTTCTGTAAAGAAACGTCGTCATATTTGAAGCAACTTTGCGTAATCAATTATTTAATTTGGCTCGACCTTTCTCTGCGGTCGTGTAAAAATTCACCCGGCCATGAATATTCATGAGGGGGGGGGGGGGTGGGCCTCATGTGAAGTGACGACACGCATGGGACGGACAGACACTTCTGTGTGATTCTAATAGCTAATGTCACAAGTGGTAAGCTCGACGAAGGGGGCTTAAATCGTCACGTGGAAATGTATTAGCAACGCGATGTTGATTACAAATGTGGCGGAGGGGAAAAACCGGAGGACCACCGAGAAAAATCCACGGGGAGAGAGAGACAGACAGAGAGACACGCAAACTCCAAATATACAGCAGGCGTCAGGGTCGGGATCGAACCCACAGCCTCCTGCATACCAGGCGAGGTAGTTAACATCTCCTAGACACCGTGATGAGAGAGAAATAGACACGAAAACTCCAAATATACAGCAGTCAGGGTCGGGATCGAACCCACGACCTCCTGTATACGAGGCGAGGGAGTTAACATCTCCTAGTACCGTGGTTGCCCCTTAATTGTCGAGTCTCACGCATCTCGTAGGGCGTCAGATTTAAGTGTTTTCTTTTACTCATAGACTGAAGTGGAATTATATACGACCAGAGTCAAATATATTCTTGGTTCTTTCGGTAAAGTCACCACGTAGAAGGGAAACAATAAAATAATAAAAATATAAAACAATAAAATTCTCACGACGTTTCGACTGCAACACAAGCAATCATCATCAGGTGTGAAAACCACAGCAAGAAAATTTGTGACTTTACCGAAAGAACCAAGAATATGAATCCCTGCAGTCACGAAAGCTTTAAATCAGAGTCAAATAGTTGATTTGAAGCTTTCGTGACTGCAAGAATCCATACTCTTTAGTTCTTTCGGTAAAGTCACGTAGGAAGAAAAAATCAAAGATCACAACGTTTCGATCGCAACACAAGCGACAAGACGGTCGCTTGTGTTGCGATCGAATACGTCTTGATATTTTATTTTTTCTACCTCCCTGACTTTACCGAAAGAACCAAAGAGTACCGTCAAGTATTTGGCTGCTATACATTTGCACGTGATGAGCCACTTTATTGAGCTGTCATTTGTGGCCAGGTCGCTTCTGAAAAAGAGATCACACAGCTCAGTAGGCCTTACCTGGTAAAATAAAAATAGTACCGTATACTTTTAATGTCTGGGAAGCTAAGCAGGTAGGTATAGATAGAGCCTTGGATGGGTGACCAGCATATCTAACGTATTATAGGCTATGGTAGCTGCGTACAGCGGAACGAGTAATTAAAATGCAGTACAAGTTGCGGGAAGACAAAGTACAGGTCCGCACCATTCTTGAGATTTACGAGCATGAAGCGAGTGTGTGTGTCGTGTAGTACAACAGCCCCGCTTTATAACGCCAGGGAAGGACAACAGACTAGGCACTACACTGTTCTGACGACGATTTGGGCAGTGGACCTTCGTAGCAAAGCGAGAGCTCATTTCTCATTGGTCCTGAGAGGTTATTTCTTAGGCTTCTGGGAGATTATTTTTTTTTATTCCTCAAGAAGGGACATTGCCGAAACGTTACCTTTCATAATTTCCTCCTCTTCGGGCAGTATTACAAATGAACCTTATGGCGGGACCCCAGGGTCCCATAAGTCCCCAGCTCTCGCATAAACTGCGTTACGACATCATTTTATGGCTGTTGAAGGCGAACGATAGGGCAATCTATTCCTCTCGACGAGCTCTACACGATGCGATAATCAAAGTTTTAAAGTTTTGTTTCTTCTGCGCATTCGTCCTCGCTACGCTCGGACGACATGACAGCAGAATGATCCGCGGCAGGTGGGTCACGGCGTTTATGTGCGTGGTGGGATGGAGTCGCCAAAAATACTTTAATTATTTGTGATTTTGACTTCCGTTTATTCGGGAGCCCGGGGTCCCGACATAAGGTTCAAATGTGTAATTTTTGGGATTTTTTTGTTTCTAAGCATAACTGACAACACTGTACTGCACAACTAAAATGTGTTCACTTGGGTCAAATGTCTTTCATAGTGAATGATTGGCCCCGCCATAACAATGTGGAATTTCCACTACTCCAGTACTACTACGCAGGGTAGCCAACGGAGAATGATATGAGCACCACTCCTTTACTCGTGTGAACAGGAAGACCCCCGGATATGCCCAAACGAATGATTTCTCTGGTAAAGAATAACGTTTAACATCTGCTGTTTTTCTTCCCACAAGGGCTTCCAAGCGAGCGTTTTCTGATCCTGCCCCTAAAGTGGTGAGTAAGCTAGTCGGGGTTTATAAAATCCCCTTGCATGCGCCCGAATGCTGCTGGGTTTATAGGAAATGTGGAGCAGTGAGGATGTGATGAGAATCACGGCCATACACATGAGTGAATGGAGGGGTGGCATTGTCAGGCATGGATGCATGCAGCTTGCAGCTGGGTGTGTGTGTGTATTGGTATGAGTGTATGGCGGATAGGTTGACCGGGCCTTAAATCAGTACCTGGTGCAATGTGTAAACATTGCCACGAAGAAGACCATGTCGGCCGGGCATGGTGCTGGTCACCCACCCCTTCGTATGCTGTGTCGGCCTTCATAGGTGCTCGCTAACAGCACTTGCCCTAACAGTCTGTTGAGGTTATACGGGGATCTTTTTTTTGTATTGGCGGATCGGGTGGAGCGGTGGTGCAGTGGTTGGCAGATTGCGCTATAAGCCCGGTGACCTGAGTTCGATTCCCGCTCACGACCAATAATGGCAAATACCTAAACCGTTCCTGGGCCTTCCCTAGGTTGACTCAACCTTAAATGAGTACCTGGTGCGGTGTGTAAACATCATCACTCGGGATATAAAGGCAGCCAGGTGTGTTTCTGGCCACACCAACCCCTCGTGAGCCATGTTGGTCTTCATCGGTGTTCACATAGAACACCTGCCTCAGGCTACACGGGGGATCTTTGTTTCTGCTAACTCATGCCCTTGTAACCCCCCGTCCCCGATTAACCCGCGTGTCCGAATGAAGGAGACGCTTTTGGATGAGGGCGAGTCGAGCGCTTCGGACGAGGTGGACGAGGAGTTGGAGGCAGAAGCGGCGCCCTCGCACTACCAGCAGCTAGTCGGCTTGCTGGGTGGCAACGAAGCCGAGACCAGCGACGAGGAGGAGGAAGAAGAGGAGGAGGAGGAAGAAGAAGAGGAGGAGGAGAAGGGAGAGGGGGCAGTGGTGAGTGGTGATGAGGAGAGGCTCCAGGAGTTCATCATTCATTTGTCTTAGTATTTCTTATGGTGGGAAGCCACTAATTTCAGGGCTGGAAATATATATAGCGACAAATGTTTCTTTATCCCTGTCTCCTTCACAGTTATTCAATTGTTACTGCAACAATTATTATCACGATCGTATGGCTCAACTGTACCTGATCATAGCAATGTGAAATTTTCACCACTGCATGGGGTGGGAGTCTCCAACTGGAATCAACACCACCTCATACTTGTTTGACCAGGGAGACCCTTTAAGGTGGGATGTTATTTTGATTCATACATCCCTCCTCCACCTGACACAGACAACTAATAAAGTTGTGACGTGAATGAACGTGCCACATTTTTCCTGCTTCAGCAGCACCACCAGTAGTATGTTTCAGAACAGTCCACACACGTTTAACTATTGGGTACGGACGTTTTGATGTTTGTTAAAACGAGCATCATCAGGCAGTTTCCATAACTGTGCGAACGTCCTCCAGTTTTTCACCGTAAACAGTCACGCACACTGTCTCTGCAGGTCGACGATTCCGCTGAGGAGGAGGAAGATGAAGGGGAAGATGAAGAGGAGGACGATGTTCTCAGCACTGATGCAGAAGAGGGCAGCACGATTGCCAGCGGAGGCGACGGTAAAGGAAAAGGGGGCAGCACAGACTCGGACGCTAGCAGCACCGATGCAGAGGATGAAACCGTCGAGGCTAAACGGGGCAGCACGAAAACCAAAAATGGCGTCGCCAACTCAAAGGGGGGCGGCCGCAGCTTGAAGGCAGCGCAGCAGAAGGGGAAGAAGGTGGCACCGGGCGAGGAGCCGCCGGAGGCGGGGGCGGGCGACTTGGCGGGCTTCGAGGGCCAGTTTGTGGATCGCGTGCACGCCAAGGCCTTCAGCCTGGACACCGTCGTCCCAGTCCAGAGTGGCACGGAGGAGGAGAAGGTGGAAGGAGACGTGATGCAGGTGTCTTCAGATGGTGAGCGGAGGAGGCCGTTGCTTTAAACCGTGCGTGGGGGGGGGCTGGTGGGGGGCGGGGAAGGGGGCTCGGTGGAGAGGGGGTATGGCGCACATTGATAATTATTAAAGTGGCTTGATAAAGATGCTGGTATGCACAGAAAAACCATGCTACGTAACTATACTGCAAAAGGTATCCAAATGCTTGTATTGTACAAGACGCTTGATATGTTACATTATTTATTCTAGTGCATATAATCTACATCATATACTACATCATGGTATCCAGATGCTTTAAAATGTGCGTTAAACATAGTGATCACCTTACAGGTGTCCTGGTGTTACACCTCAATTTTTTGCTACGTACTTTCACATGCTCAGCACCTGGATAGTTTTTTTCTGCTGATATGTCATAGCGTTAGTTTTATTTCTCACAGCCCTAAGCCATTGAAGGAAATTGCACATTCCTATGACAAGGCAAAGAGATACTCTCCATAGGACTACTGCTGTCAGCTCCCGCAAAGTGGTAGTTATTTTATCGACCCCAGAGGAAAAACGGTGTTGGGCCGGGTTAATCCCTCAGCTGGTATTGGAAGCCGTAAACTTCCGATTGTCAGTTGAGCGCTGTAACCACGACTTGGACACACAGCAAGGTGGGGCCAGTAAGTTGATTTGCGGCAGCGAGTGTGCGGAGCCTGACGCTGTGCCGTGCTGTGCCACGCTGTGCCGTGCTGTGCCACGCTGTGCCGTGCTGTGCCACGCTGTGCCGTGCTGTGCCACGCTGTGCCGTGGCTTCAGATCCGTTCGTGCAGCACCTGGCGTACGAGCTGGAGCCGGGGGAGGTGAAGACGCTGCTCGACCGGAGCAACCGGAGTACGGAGATCGTGAAGGTTTGTGCAGCGACTGCGCTTGAAACGGACCGTCGTTTATTTGCGCAAGTTGGGTGGAGCCTGTCAAGGGGTCGTGACAGTGTTGGTGCTCGTGGCCCGGGAAATGGCATGGGTTGCTGCGGTGTTAGCACAGTGCGCGAAACCCGGAGCTACCGATCCGAACAGCGTGCTTCAACCACAACCACCACTGCGGTCATCACAGCCACCACCAACACTTTCCATTGCCGCCACTCTTTTCACCACTGCTATCACCACCACCACCTCCAACATATCAACCACCACAGTCAGTGGTGGTTCTCTGGATTCCTCCTGGGTTAGAGGCCAGGAATTACCCAGAGAAAGAAGTTGAGTCAACAGGAAGTGTGATGCATTCACAGGGAATCGCCCGAGTTTATTATTAAGGCGCAAGCATCTGATCGCAAATTAAAAATTCGGATAAATAAATAAGCAGACAATGCACATCCTTCGCATATCTGTCTCGTGGCGTGAAGTAATTTTACACCTCCCGTAACACGGCCTGGGATTGCATAATTTCAGCAGCATTGGTTCTACACAAGCAAACTGGACCAGGTTTAACGTTCAGTGTCTGGTCAGCAAAGTCAGGCTGGCTTGAACGAATGCTGAGTAACTGCTTATAGGGAAGGACCTCCTCTCAGTTGTTATGGGTCAAAGTTTGACGCAAAACTAAAACAAGATAGAAAATCAACGTGGAGGGGCAGATATGTGAGGGGGGGGGGGTTTATTTATGTGTTACTTATATACTCCACCACTATGCTCATGATTATTGTGTTATGTATTATAAATATTGTGTTATGTATTATAAATATTATTGTTATGTATTATAAATATTATTGTGTTATGTATTAGAAATATTGTGTTATGTATTAGAAATATTATTGTTATGTATTAGAAATATTATTGTGTTATGTATTATAAATAGGGGATGAGTGTGTGTGTGTGCGCGTACGTGTGTTTCATCAGTGGCCATGCCTGGGGCAGCTGCACTGCTCGTGGAGCTTGGAGAAGCAGGCCGGGGCCCCCCCCCGCTTAGGGACGGCGGCTGCGCCACTCGCCCTGCACCCCCCCCTGGAGCGCACGTGGAGACACGTGAACGCGCAGGCACACGGTACGTGCGCAAGACAAATGTTCCACCGTGTAGCCTTCAGCAGACTGTTAGGGTGGCAAGTGCTGTTGGCGAGCACCTATTACGGCCGGCACGGCACACAAAGGGGTGGGTGGCCAGCATCACGCCCGGGCCCGCCTTCGTCTCCCCGCTGGCGATGTTTACACACGCCACACAGGTGCTCGTTCGAGGCCGAGTCGACCAAGCGGCGGTCCAGGACCGGTACAGATCGTCGTCACTGGCGTTGATGGCTGTGAGCGGGAATCGAACTCGGGTCATCGAGCTTGTAGCGCAGTGCGCTAACCAACTACGCCTTGCGTACATTTGCGTACCAACACTAGAATTATCACGCACACACGGGCACTCGAGCGCTGCCACGTGCAGATAAGGGGCAGAATAGGAGGGCCAAAGATCCGCGATGGCAAATAACTCGGTCTCATTCTTCATCTGTTCTCTCCCCGGTAGGCGACGGAAAGCCGGTGAAGCCGGACTCTCCTGCGCCGTTCTTCACGCCGCTGCAGCAGGAGCTGTGGTCGCTGTTCACATCGTACCGCGACGTCTTCTACCCCGAGCGCTCGCCGCTGGGCTCCGGCGAGGACGTGCGCCGCCTCTACTGCCTGCACGTGCTCAACCACGTGCTCAAGGCCAACGGCCGCGTGCTAGCCAACAACGGCGTGCTGCAGCGGCGTGCCGAGCGGCGCCGCGACGCCGAGAGCAGCAGACGAGGCCGCGGGGGGCGCAAGCGGAGAGGCGGCGGAGCCAGAAGGGAAGTCACCGGAGAGGACGGTGGCGGACAAGTTCAGGATAAAGCGGAAGACACAAACGACGTCGATGATGATGATGATGATGAGTTCCGGGACCAGGGCCTCACCCGTCCGAAGGTGAAAGTGAACCCATGTTTCTTAAGGTTGAGAGCGTTTATGCATTAGCTCTGTCCCATCCTTCTGTCCGTAGTAAGGGCATAAGTCTCGTGAAGATGATCCAATTACGTACCAAACTTAAATGTGAAGTTTCGTCGCTATGTGGGACTTGCCCAACTGAAAAGCTGCCAAATTTATCAAAGGGTTGATATTCAAATGAGAAACATTTTCCAATGACCTCTTAGTGCCCACTGAACTTTGTAATGTATCCTGTTCTAGAAAAGTGTACAATTCTCAAGCTGACGTGAGGCCATATTAATTGAAAACCCAAAAATATTATGACCGTCAACTCGCTGCACTAGAAAACCTGGCTTATTCATGGGTGGTTGAAACCAGGACACTCAGGTCCTGACCTTTCACCTTGTGCATGACTCCATTCACCTTTACGGCCACATTGAACGTTCCATTTCTAAGTGACCACCATGTGTATGCGTGTCCGTGCCTATCCATGTGTGTACTTGTGTCTGTGTATATATGTGTCTGCGAGTGTCTTTATGTATATTGGCATGCACACATGTCTGTGTATCCTTGTTTTTTGCGTGTATGTGTGCTTGTATGTGTGTGTGTGTTGGGGAGCGGTAGTGTAGCGGTTAGTGTACTGCGCTATGAACCTGGCGACCCGAGTTCGATTCCCATTCACGGCCAACACCAGTGAAAAATATCTGAACCGCTCATGGGGCCTCCCCTAGGTCGACTCAGCCTCAAATTAGTACCTGGTGTGGTGTGTAAACATCATCACTGGGGAGACAAAGGCGACCTGGCATGGTGTCGGCCACCCACCCCCTCGTGTGACGTGCCGGCCTTCATAGGTGCTCGCTATAACAGCACTTGCCCGAACAGTCTGTTCAGGCTATATGGGTGAAATTTTTAATCTTTGTCTTTGCTTTTCCGTCCTGTGTGTTTTTCCCGCACGCGTCCGAACCCCCGTCGCTTGCAGGTGCTGGTGGTGGTGCCGACGCGCGATGCGGCGTGGCGTGTGGTGACCACGCTGGGGGCGCTGCTGGGTGGGGACGGCCGCGAGGGAGCGCCGCGCGTCGAGGTCAGCCACCGCGCTCGCTTCAACCGTGAGTTCGGCCGCGACCCCGGCGAGGAGCAGCCGCACAATCTGCGGCGGCCCGACGACTACCTCGCCATCTTCTCCGGCAACAACGACGACCACTTCCGGTTCGGTGCGTGGCCTCCGATGCTCGCGGCGATAAAATTATCGCGTCATACAAGCAAACAAATGCGCATCGCCATTTGAAGCGGAAAAAATTAACTATTTTTTTTTATTCTAGCAGATAAGGCCCACTAAGCTATATAGTTATTTTTCAGAAGCGACCAGGGCACAAATGATAGCTCAACGAAGTGGCTTACGTGGAAATTTATAGCAGCTAAATAAATGCGGAGGGAAAAACCGGAGGACACGGAGACCGTGGGGAGAGAGAACACGTAAACTCCAAATATGCAGCAGCAGGCGTCCGGGTCAGGATCGTACCCACCTCTTCCTGTATACCAGGTGAGGTAGTTAACAACTCGCTATCGTGGCAACCACAAATGTCCAAGTGACCAATGATCGTTTCACACACGCGCGTACAGGGATGGCTCTGCTGAAGCGAGGCGTGCGTCTCTACGCGCCGTTCTACGCGTCGGACGTGGTGGTGGCATCGCCCCTGGGCCTGCGCACGGTGCTGGGGGCGCCGGGGGAGGCGACGCGAGACTTCGACTTCCTCTCGTCCATCGAGCTGCTCGTGCTGGACCAAACCGACGTCTACCTCATGCAGAACTGGGAGCACGTCATGGTTGCGCACGCACCTATGCACGCACCCAAAAATGCACGTTAATCATTATTTAGTACAATTGGCATGAGCGTCATTCTTAGCTATCGTGAAGGTGCTGTGTTTCACAGACAGTCTGCAGTCATTTTACTTATCGGGGGCGATATTGCAATGTGTAATCCCATTTGAGTGGTTTGTGGGTAATTCAACGATTATGGAGGAGGCACGAAAACATGGCACAGAAATGTGGAATTGCCATCGCTGACTGAGAAGCTGCCTGAAGCCTCTGAATCACGGCTCGGCATTAATTTTATTTCGAGAGAGACATAGCGCCATTGTTTTCAATGACATTGTACTCGGCGCAGAGAACCGTAGTGACATGAGGGCAACTCTACGATAGCTGGCGCCAAACTGTGCCACGCGCCCTCCTGCATTGCCCTGTGGGAGCCTCGGTACCAATGAAGTTATTTTAGCTTCGTTGCGATGATCTACACGTACGTCATCAGAATGGGAATCGGAAGAAAGACTGACGTACACGTACGTACGTCATCGGAACGGGAAAGGGTTAACTGCAACAGCGCGCGTACAGAACGGGGATAATGCGGCACCTCTTGCCTCCGCCGTGACCGTCGCCGTGCCCCCCACCCTCCACTGCGGCAGCACTTGGCGGCGCACGTGAACCTGCAGCCGCTGGAGCCGCACGGCGTGGACTTCTCGCGCGTGCGGCCCTGGAGCCTCGACGGGCACTCGCGCCACTACCGCCAGACGCTGCTGCTGAGCGCGCTGCCCCACCCGCTGCTGCACGCTCTCGTGTCGCGGCACGCCAGCAACTACCGCGGCCAGGTGACACGGGCGCGCGGGCGCACGTGGACTCTTGGGGAAATGCGCACGAACACTCGGGGGTGTGCGGGGGGGGGGGAGCATAACGATACATGGAGACACACACGAAACATGGACACGCTGGGGCATAGACGTGGTCACACGGGTAGATACATGCAGATACGAGCACGCAGACAATAGGAACTCGCACGTGACCACGCAGTCAGATGTGTATGTATGTGTGTGCAGGTGCAAGTGAGGAACGCTCCACTGCTGGGCTCCATCAGCCAGGTCGTGGTGCAGCTCCCGCACGTGTTTCAGCGAGTCGAGGCCGACAGCGCCACTGAGATTGCCAACGCCAGGCACGACACGCACATTTACACTTATCACACAGGTTTATTCACACGCGCGCACGCACACGTACATGGGTACGTGTGTACGCATTCGTCGAATCGCTGTGGCGCGGAGCAGAATTGTCACGTGCTACTATCCGCAGGTTCGCTTACTTCGTGGACCACGTGCTGCCCCAGTACCGCGACGCCGTCATGGCGCACACCATGGTGTTCGTGCCGTCGTACTTCGACTACGTGCGTCTGCGAAACCACCTGGCGCGCGAGGGCGTCCGCGCGGCACACGTGTGCGAGTACACGCCGCCGGTGCGCGTCGTGCGCGCCCGCAAGAGCTTCCTGCGCGGCGTGCGGCCCTTCCTGCTCTACACGGAGCGCTTCCACTTCTACAAGCGGTGGGGCGAAGCAACCGCACCCGCCCGCCACGCTCGGCGCGCAGAAAGCACCACGCCACACGTCAATTTACCGTGCCAAACCGCCCGCAATTAGCCCGAGACTTTGTCGCATCTCGGAAGCTGAACACGCGTTTCAAACCAGGATGGTACTTGGATGGGCGACTCGACCATGCAATTCAATAGGCTTTAATAGGCCCGCTGGGGCTATGCTGTGACCAGCAGTGTGGCAATATATATTTGTAGTATTCTACTATACACCCATGTCTGTGCTTCCTGCCTTCACCATTCCGCACTGACCGACGTGGTGACACGGTCAAATAACCCCCAAGACCTGCACAGGGTGACCCTCATCTAGCAGTGGACTGACGAAGGGCTGTGCGTGTGCACGTACACAATCTGCTGCGCTGCAATACCACTCGCATACCAGTGCACTGCACTGAACTACACTACGCAGCCACACGTATCTCTCCATCCATCTGTCTGCACCAACATCCATGCACCTGTGTGTTAACGTCCGTCTTTTCATCCGCCCAATTGCCTTTCCACCAACGTGAGAATCCCTCGTCCATCCATTCGTGGGAACATCCATTCCGTCCGACAGTCCGACCGTCCACGCTAACGCGCGACGTCTCCCCCCCCACCCCCACCCCACCCCCAAATCCCTGCAGCTACTCGATCCGTGGCGTGCGCCACCTCATCTTCTACGAGCTGCCCACGTACCCGCACTTCTACAGCGAGGTGTGCAACATGCTGCGCACGGCGTCGGCGGTCGCGGCCGACGCCGCGTGGACCTGCACGGTGCTCTACTCGCGCTACGAGGCGACGCGCCTGGCCGCCGTCGTCGGCACCACCCGCGCCGCTCACATGCTCGCCTCCTCCAAGAAGACGCACCTCTTCGTGACCGGCGACGATTCCTCCGCCGGTGTTGCCGCTGGGCAGGCCTGATGTGACGGCTTCCACGTTCAATATAAACGAAGAGCTTTTTATTTTACGAGATGAGGCCCTCTGAGCTTACGTAAGCTGAGAGGGGCCTGGCTGTCACAATTGATAGCTCAACAATATGGCTTCTCCGCCACACGGAAATTTATAGCGGCCAAATGCTCATGCGTGCTTGTAAATGCGGAGGGAAAAACCGGCCAAGAGAGAGATGTCCCTTTCTGGACGTGGTCGGGAGGCTCGGCGTCTGTCACTGCTACGAAGATCTTGGGTTCAAGTCTAGTTAAGGCTACCCACGATTTCAACCAGGTTTTCAAATTCATGGAAGCTCATGGTTTCATCCTGGTCACCATTTTTTAATCCCATCGCGGTCAATGTGGTTTGCATTCAGTGTTCCAGATTCCAGCTCTGAGAATAGAATATTTCGATTTGATATTCATGCCCACAAGTGCCTCTTTAGCAGGACATGAGAAGGTCCACCTCTGAGGCGATTTGACGAGACTTAATTCAGAAAGCAGTTCCGTGATCCAATTGTTAATTATACGATGGCGCTTGCAGCAAGAAATTCCAAATGTCATCAAATGACAATCATTAATTATTAAAATGATAACGCTCGTGGGTTGAACTTTAAAAGGACATTAAGAGGCGTGGGAGAATAGCGAAGTCTTCGGATTCCGACAGAAGGACAACACCAACGCTGATGTGTGGTCGAGTGAGGAATAGATCTAATTCCAGGTGACGAGCTGCGACAGAGAAACGACGTTCGCCTCGTCCGGTTCGAGAGACGGGGCGTCACATGGAGGCCACTCGGGGCAGATCGGAGGTAGCGAGATGGAACGTACGATGAGAAAGCGGAAGCTGAACCGTCCCATTGATATCGATGTCACAGTTGTCATAGTTAAAAAAAGAACAATGTTTTTAAAATTAAAATAATTCCAGATGGTCAACAATGTGTCAGGCTGGTTAAGCTGTACAAACTGTCAGTTACATCTATGCTGTCATTTCACTATGATCCATCCACTGCTACATAAAGGTCTCCCTTATGTTTTCACCGTTAAAAGCTGGCTGTGGGGTGAGAGATGCACAATGTATGACTGGTATTGGACGCAAACGTTTTTGAGGCCAAAACCGCGTTTTATTGGGAACGTCCTTAAGGCAGTGGGCAGAGAGCACAAAATGGCTTGGGGTACCTTGGCTAAAGAGAAACGCACCCTCCTTAAAGTAGTGAGAAATTGCCGCTCGCAGCGTAAAGAGAATTCGCGCGCGCTCAGTGCAGAGAGGACTCGTGTTGTCTCACACCGGCACAGCCTTGGGCCTGAAAGACGCCCTGCCTCTGGGATAGACGCAGTGTCTCGTTCCGGACACTGTCTCTCCTCGGCGACCTCTCGGCTCCTCGACTCCTTGGCTGCCTCAAAATTTTGCTGCTTGACTCCGGTTGTTGGCTGTGTGCATTCTCCCAGCTTTGAGCGGCCACATGACAATTAGTCTTTGTTAGCGGCAGTTATCCACCGTTCTTTAACAAAGACTGAACAAAATGTTGGGGCAAGTGCTGTTCGCGAGCACCTATGAAGGCCGGCATGGCTTACGAGGAGGTGGGTTGCCAACACCACGCTAGGCCGCCTTTGCCTCCCCATTTTAGGCCGAGTCGACCTAGGGGAGGCATATGACCAGTTGAGATAATTGTCACTGGTGTTGGCTATGAGCGGGAATTGAGCTCGGGTCGCCGAGTTGTAGCGCAGCGCGCTAACCGCTACACTACCGCTCCCACCTTTAACCACAACACATCTCAGTTCACAACCTTCTCAAGGTCAAAGTTGTTAATTATACAGCGGCTCCTAAAGTAGGCTTTGGAAAATGTTTTTATGTTGCATTATGCTCCTGCATCACACAATGCTGCGGAAACAGGAGTTGCATGCAAAAAGAGGTTTTCAGAAATCACCTAGTGTCTTGCGTGAAGTGGAGCGAGGTCCTCTGAACTGCAGACCAAAGCCTCACTTTTATATGGTTCTAGCCATGATTAATTTAGGAGCATCTGAAATCTATTATTCCTAGAATCATAACTGGAGATGGGCACTAACAATGCCAATTGTTTAATTGCCTTCAAATCCCCTATCCGTCCCCAAAAATCTTGTCAATGCACCGTTGTGGTCACAGCTCAATAAAATCGGTTTGTAATTTCCAGTTAAAGGTAGTTTCTTCTGTCGGTCTACTTTGTAAGAGCTTTTGTTTTTCATCCTGTCCCGGAACGGTCTCCACAGGCGAACCAGTGTCTGTCACGGTCCCACAATGCCACTGCTAGGCTGGGCTGCAACACACAGTGGCAACGCAAGTCGGCCCTGGACACAAAATGAACGGCCAAATAAATCAAAACTCGACGTAAAATGTAATGCGTATAAATCATATGAAAATCTATTTCAAAGTTAACCGGAAACCCTTAAAAGGAATAATAACATTAAGCGCTTTGATGAGACGTAACTTTTGAGAATAGAATCGGAAAACACTGGGAACATTGCTTTTTAGCTGATATTCATTGAGTGTCGCTGGCGATACATCAAGTTGGACGAATGTGTAATTGGTGGTGGGGGGGGGTGTATATGATTGTTACTTGTGTTCGGAATGGTCTTCAGAGCTGAGATGTAAAAACAAATTGAGCAACGTGTTCTGATGCCTTGCAGATTAATCCCCCAGTAACGATGCTTTGACAGTCCAAGAGAGAGAGATATGTGGCATTGATTCTGTTCAAGTATCCGAGGTAGTGCTCTCATGTCAATAAAAGAGACGGCCACTTTACAGATTATGAGCTCTGCCCAATGTTCATATAAATACCGGGACATTGGCTCCAAAACGAACTGAATTGACAAAGCCACTCAACAATTAATTTATTCCTTAAATTAAAATTACAGCACGGTGCAGTATTTACAAATTGCAATCAGACCAGTACCACGGCCACGACACATACCTTTTGAATGGTATTGGTGACCCGACAGTGCAAACTGTTTAAACAACAAACTCGCCACCTTTGGGGGAAAGCATCAACGGCAACGCCTCTCGCGGTGCCGTCTTTAAAATTCCGCGTGGCTCGTCTCTACGTGAAAACTTCCACGGCTTGTCGGAAGACGAGTGTGAAAACTCTTGTTACAGAACGGTAGCCGTAAGGGAGCTGAGCAATTGGGCTCTCGTAGCCAAGTCCAAAGTGTCTCCCCTGTTCAAATGAGCGGCCCTGACACAGTGATGGAAGTTCCACATTCCCACTGCGAAGACCAATCGCCCTACAGGATAACCACCATTTTATTGATCCTGGAGCGACACTGGGTTGAGTTAATTCCCAGGAGTTAAACTTATAACCTGGTTCACGAGTGTTTTGACCATGGAAAATCCAACTGGGAGAAAGTCGGTGTTCAACTGGTGGGTTAATGCCCAGGTGGGGTTAAACTCAGCCCATCATCTCTCTGGGGTCATCACAATAAGTACGATGTGGAAAGTCTACCGTGGTTTTGTGGAGGAAGCGGTCCCTGGCATAGGATTGTGAAATTGTCATCAATGGCTCGAGGTCAACGACAGTAGCGCACTGCATCGTGTTAGCAGGTCTCACTGTTGGCTTTGATGGTCCCTCTTCATTTTGATCCCACCGAAACTCGCATAAGAGTGCAGTGTGAAGACGAACTAAACTAAACTTTATTATTTGACCAGGTAAGGCTCGCTGAGCTTTATAGCTCTTTTTTCAGAAGCGACCTGGCCGCAAGTGATAGCCCAACGAAGTGGCTTATCACGTGCAAATTTATAGTAGCAGCCAAATACTCTAAAACGCATGTTTCTAAATGTGGAAGGAAAAACCGGAGGACCCAGAGAATAATTCACGCAACCACGGGGAGAACATGCAAATTACAAATATACAGGCGTCAGGGTCAGGATCGAACCCACGACCTCCTGTGTACCAGGCAAGGAAGCCGTCGGCGCCAGAAGAACTTGCTGCGCATGAGACATCTTGTACACCGAGTGCAAACTTAAAGCATGTATCTCTTAATTCAGCATGGCCTGTATCTTAAACAAAAATTCAATAAGGTTTCTGCGAGTAATGTTGCATGCAGGAGGAAACCGCAGCGCTCGGTAAACAATCCACATTTACAAGAGAACAATACTCTGGTAAGTCGGAAGCCCACTTTCTGTACTGCCTCCTGGAGGCGCCACCTCATGGTCCTGCACTTCATGTCTCGCATGATCTTTGCATGGTCCACCAATCCCACCTCCAGGCATGTCACCACCCAGACCCACATACAAGGCATGAACGCAGGATGTGAACAATGCATTCTCGATGTCTGAAATACTGGCATCTGTTCCGCGCCACCCCTGTTGGTCATATATTTTGACAACTGTGGTCAACAGACAGGATTTCTGCTTTGTCTCGTACAGACAAGTGCAAGTGCTGAGGCTGACGCGGCAAATGGCAAAAAGGTGGTGGGGCCAACACCATGTCGTCACCCTCGTTTCGTCTGTTGACAGGTTACGGACTTCTTTAGATACAAATTTACAGCTGAGTTGACCTAGAGGAGTGTCAGTACAGGCTCCTGGCCATGTTGCACAACTGGTGCAACATGGCCAGGAATCCAACAAGGTTGTCAGGATCATAGCGCGGTGTGCTAAACACTGTATAGCCTTTAACAGGCTGCTGAGGCAAGTGCTGTTAGCGAGCAGCTATAAGTATGGCACACGAGGGGCTGAGTGGTCAGCACTCGGCCACCTTTGTATCCCCAATGCTGACGTTTACACACCGCACCAGGTGCTTATTTAATCCTGAGCCAACCTCAGGGAGGCCCAGGACCAGTTTATATATGTCGGTGATCTTGGCCTTGAGCGGGAATCAAACTCGGCTCGCCGGGTTTGGAGCGCGGCGCGATACCCACCGCACCGCTGCTCCACGCACAGCCTATCTAGTCCGCAACAGCCCCCTGCGGACCTCACACTTCTATGGCTGGGTTGGACCCCTTGCCCTGTTTTGCCAACAGCTCCTCCTGCTTCATCTTGGGTCGCTCCGTGCGTGTGTGCCACACCAGCACCTGCCCACACACAAGACGCACAGACACCGCGTTGCTCCTGCGCGACCCCCTGACTGCTGCAACGGAGTGCGTGCATGTGCACGCACCCCCCCCCCCCCCCCCCATCTTGTAAGTGCACTTTTCTGCGTTGTAATACGTATACTTGTGCGAGTCCGAACACCTTTACACGGACGCGTTATGAAGCATCCCTGTTGGTGCGTACATTTCTTTAGAACTGCTTTTTGTGCTGAGTTTGTTCTCCTAACTTTATACCTCCGATTTAGCAGTTGGCTACGTACGGTGGTGCGAAAGAAGTTCAACATACATACACCAACACGCAGCATTTTTGTGTGCCTTTGTGAGTGCGGGGTTATGCCTGTATTAGTTTGTGCGTGTGTCAGTGCAAGGGTTGCGTATGTGTGTGTGCATGTGTCAGCGACAGTGCTTTGTGAGGGAGGGGTGTGTGACGGCGAGTGTGGCGTGTCTGTGTAGAAATGACTTGTACGATTGAGTTGCTTTATGCCTATGCAAGCATGTTGCTAATGCCTGTGTGACCTCGTGCTATCCCTCCCTGTCATCTCGTGTTATTATCCATGTGATCTGATGTGATTATACCCATGTGACCTGGTAGGAATATGCTTATGTAAGTGAAATATGCGCCATCAAGCGAGTGAGTGTGCGTGCCTGTACATGTGTGTGGATTGTGCCTGCCCAACCTTTGATGGTCATGCAATAGGGATCTGGTGGTTGTATCCCTGTGAGTGGCTGCCCATGTGGGTGTGTTGTCTGTGACCCTGTGAGTGTGTTGTCTGTGACCCTGTGAGTGTGTTGTCTGTGACCCTGTGAGTGTGTTGTCTGTGACCCTGTGAGTGTGTTGTCTGTGACCCTGTGAGTGGCTTCCCATGTGGGTGTGTTGTCTGTGACCCTGTGAGTGTTGTCTGTGACCCTGTGAGTGTGTTGTCTGTGACCCTGTGAGTGTGTTGTCTGTGACCCTGTGAGTGGCTGCCCATGTCGGAGTGTTGTCTGTGACCCTGTGAGTGTGTTGTCTGTGCCCCTGTGAGTGGCTGCCCCTGTGAGTGTGTTGTCTGTGACCCTGTGAGTGTGTTGTCTGTGACCCTGTGAGTGGCTGCCCATGTGAGTGTGTTGTCTGTGACCCTGTGAGTGTCCTGCCCATGTGAATGTGTTGTCTGTGACCTTGTGAGTGTGCTGCCCCTGTGAGTGTGTTGTCTGTGACCCTGTGAGTGTGTTGTCTGTGACCCTGTGAGTGGATGCCCATGTGAGTGTGTTGTCTGTGACCCTGTGAGTGTGTTGTCTGTGACCCTGTGAGTGGCTGCCCATGTGAGTGTGTTGTCTGTGAACCTGTGAGTGTGCTGCCCATGTGAGTGTGTTGTTTGTGACCCTGTGAGTGTGTTGTCTGTGACCCTGTGGGTGTGTTGTTTGTAACCCTGTGAGCGGCTGCCCATGTGAGTGTGTTGTCTATGACCCTGTGAGCGGCTGCCCATGTGAGTGTGTTGTCTGTGACCCTGTGAGTGTGTTGTCTGTGACCCCATGAGTGGCTGCCCATGTGAGTGTCCTGCCCGTGTGGGTGTGTTGTCTGCATGATCTGGTTTTGCCGGTCTCTCCAGGTGGGCGCTGCGTCCTGCACCTCGGTGCAGTTTCTCGCGCGCGGCTCGAGCTGCTCGGCGGACGTGAGCGACACGAGCAGGCTCGACTCCAGGTCCCCGCGCGCCGCGTCCGGGTCGAAGGCGGCTTGCGGGTGCGACACGAGGAGGCTCAGGCTCACTGCGAACCCGGCCATGTCGATGGGGAACGCCCGTTCGGGCCGCCACGCCGTGTGGAACGACACGACGCGGCCCTCCACCACCACGGGGCCCTCGAAGCGCAGGCCGCCCACTAACCCGACCGGCCACACCGACACGCCGCGCGTCCAGCGCATCTGAGGGTGGTGTGGCGGAGGGGAGGAGCGAGCGGTGGTGTGGTGGTTAGCACGCCGCACTACAAACCCGACAACCCTAGTTTCGATTTAAAGCTTTCGTGACTGCAGTAATTCATATTCTTAGCTCTTACGGTAAAGTCACGTTGAAGGGAAACAATATTGTTTTATATATGTTTTATATATTTTATTGTTTCCCTTCAACGTGACTTTAAAACAATATTGTTTTATATATATTTTATTATTTTATTGTTTCCCTTCAACGTGACTTTACCGAAAGAGCTAAGAATATGAACCCGAGTTTTATTACCGCCCCTTGGCCTCCCCAAGGTTGTTTCAGTCTTAAATGAGTAGAGTTGTGTAAACATCAGCATTACCACTCATGGCTAACAGTGAATACCTGAACCTGTGCTTTGGGCCTCCCCGAAGTCAATTCAGCCTTAAATGAGTACCAGGTGCGGTTGTGTAAACATAAGCACCGAGCAGACAAAGGGAACCAGGCATGGTGATGGTCAC